TGAAAATCGACAACTGGAGGATTTGCCACTGGCCGATTTTGGCCGTTTACCTGAAAAAATTCTTCTGTCGGTAAGGACAAAGTCAATAAATGATAATTTTGTAAATTGAAATTACGACCATTGTTGTTTTTGTAATCATGATTCAACGCATTTTTTGCATCTTAAGAGTTAGCGCCCACGCACTCTACGATTGTTATTCGGAGATTGTCAATTTATTTGTTTTCATTGATTAATTTTACTGCTTTTCTTGTCAGTAAAGGCCTACTGTGTTTATATAATAAACAAAATAATACATGGTTGCTTGTAGATATGGAATTTCTCTTCTCGTGTTCAACTCGAAACCTCACTCGTTCGCTGTGCTCACTCGTTAGCTATCGAGTTAAACGCTCGAAGAGAAATTTCATATCTACGCGCGCCCATGTATGATTCTCTATGTAGCGCACCTCTTCGTCTTGTGAGTCACTGATCATGAGTAGGGAACTCAGAGAGGAGATGAAAACAGTTCCTAAATATCTTTTGGTGTTGTTTTGTCGAAAAATTCATTTTCAAGGGAAAGCCTATTCGAATGGAGCGCGCGCTATGTCCGTTAAGAACTGAACACAATTCAATTGTTACGTCAGTTGCAATTCACTGTTCGTTTTTGTCAGCGAGTTTTAAGCTGCATCTTTTGTGTCACAAAAAGATGTGTTCTGTTTCGGTAGTCACAACGAAACTGGTTTCAACAGCAATTGACGATAGAGTGGATTATTTGAGTAAAGTTCGTGGTAAAGAAGAAAGTGTTTATGATAAAGTTGTAAGACAATTCCGCGAACTCGAGAAGAATGCTGACAAGTACTTTGACAACTTGGACGCTGTCGAAGAAATGTGTCACCAAGCGAAAAAAGACGCGCAAAGATTTCGGCTGAAAGCTGAGGCCGACAAAGAACTATTGAAGAGAGATGCTGCCGTGAGGGCCAAATTGTATTCCTCCGTCACGGAAATGAAAGAAAAACTGAACCGAATGGATATCAAAGAAGAGCCGACATGCCCAATTGAGGAAAAGATGCCAGAAGCAGCTGAGAATGCACACCGGCTAACTGTCACCGGTCGAGTGTCTCGCTATGTCAGGATTGGATGTGCTTTGGTGTTTGACGCAGTAGCTGTGTATACTCTCTTTAGGTTTACTCATCCATACTTTTTTAAATCACTGCGCCGGGCCCTAAAAAGAAGATGGGCCCATCGCTCGGTAAGAGAACGAAAAGCCTACAAGCAGTCCCCCTTTTTGCGAACTCTGTCGCGCGAGTTAAAAAAAGGGAGGAGGATTTTTTTTTTTTACTCCCTATCAAAAGTTTAGGCCCTTGATGTCAAAAGGTATTCGAGGCAATGATTGGTTGGGTGTTTTTCCTCAAAGCTAATCCTCTTGTTTTACTATTATTTTGTAGGAACATCGATGATCGTTTTATCAATCTTGTTCGAGTGTCAAGAAAAAACAGCTACAGCAACCTATCTAAGTCTCAGTGGGTGTGGAGTGAAGTGTTTTCTTGGAAGAATGAGCCGTGGGCAGAGAGTAGATGTAAAAAATGGCATCAGAAGGAACCTAATCCAGACACATTCAGAGGTATTTATTGGAGACCTAAATTGCATATGTCTTGGGGAAGGAACAGACTAACGTGTTGTTACTGGAAAATAAGCTCTATCGATGCTTCTTAAAGGGAATGAAGTCTACGTCTTAAAGTCCGAATTCAAACGGTAGAGCCTCACAAATTCGAATTTGGTTATCGCTGAAGTTAACTCGAGTAAGGGGCCATTTTCTTGGAAGATGGTTTTTGAGTCATTAACCTTCAGCCACCCCGAAATCCCCAGCACGTTAAAATGTTGTAAGCGTCCTCGTAGCAATTCATTATCAGTACATTAGGCAAGATTCTTCACTCGCGCATTCCCTTTCTTTGAGAAGAAGTGCCTGTAAATGGGTGCTATATAGCCGTCAAGAGAACCTAGAAGCTGCCATCCGAAAGGATTAGCAATGCTGCTAAAATTTTCATGCTTGAAAGACCAACGTAAACTTCTATAGAGGATTGTGGGGCTAAACAAGGGTTAGTATTCCAACAGAGTGATGGCAAGACCCACCCATTTTTCATTTAAGAAAACGTTTCTGTATGCTCAACGTTAGCGGATAGCTTTTGAGAAGGCGACCGTAATGATAAGGCGAAGAGGATTTTGACTAATGCTATTGTATTCAACCACTAAGGAGATCCCAGCATGCAGCCATGCCCTTCGAGTTTGACTCAGGCTATGGTAGATCGCGGGCGCTTCATGTCTGATGAGGAATGCAATCCCCAAAATCGCGATGGATGTGATCGATACCACGAGGGAGCTTTCCAGTGTTTTTTAATGGTCAATCCCAGGTCAGTTATTCTTAATTTTAGTTTAATAAAAGCTTACAGGCAAACAACCCTGGGGAAATGTAGTGAGATATCAAAATCGTCTTTTCTATTTGCTGTTTTTAAGAAGCCCCGCTGTGCAACGAAAAAAAGGTACTCATAAGCACAAAAGATAACTTTGCCTCGATTTGATTCACTGGACCCAGTTTTTCTTGTTTTCGTCCGAATATGTATCGAGCATGGAGCACTGATTTACTTTTTCTTCCATAGTGCCACAGGCTCCGGTCAGCAGTGCTGTTTCAACAGGCTTGGAAACTTAATGATGGGCCAACCAAACGCAGGGTCCCTTGACCGCGTTCATCCTAATGCTGGTCTCCCTGTGATATCCCATTTCTTCCATGATAAGGTGCCGTACGAAGACTGCTGCCGCAACTCTAAGAATTGTGAAAAGTACTTTGAGAAGCGGCCTTCAGACGACAGCTCAGAATATCAAGCACCAAGACCCGGTAATTTTTAATCATTTAAGTGTTATGTGGCATGTGGGCGACGCGACAACCCAGGGGTTGGAGTGGATAAAATGTGGTCGCTCAAAATTCACAATTGAAAACGAAAAATGTACGAAAGGGCTGAACATGCGTTGAAAAAAGGCGCAGGCCATTTACTCTCCTGTGTGACAATGCCACATAATTAAAATGTTACAGCATTTCCAAGTGGAGTCAAATTCGCTCTATAAACATACGAATGATTCGTGTATTTGGGTAAACGCGACGCAGTAGTACGATTTGTTGATAGCGTGTCTGTTTGCAGACAGATCTGTACGACAAAAAAATCCCCTTACCCATCAACAAAACTATGAAAAAAATTGACGAGACAAATACTCAACGGTTAGAGTTATTCATAAATAAATACATTACAGTTCAATTTTTTAATACAAATAAACCCAGCAGTCTCGATCCATAGCACACCGCAGAAATGACGCACACCGTCCAATTACACAGGCTTGGCGCGTGAACTGTCCTTTTACATTGTTCAGTTACTGTGCAATTGCAAGCGCAGCGTAAAAGTTGTCCTAAACTAAACAAAGCGCACTGCTAATTGCCAACTACATTTGGGCATTATGTTTTACTTTTAATTAAAAGTAGGGGAAAAAATGTATGTATAGTTCTTTGATAGTGATTTCCCTTAACAGCTCACATCGTCTTTATTTCAATAACTGCGTTTTTTCGTTGCCCATAGCTACCGGTTTTGGGGACCCACACATGGTGACCTT